GGGGGGGGGCGGTGACTAGTAAAAGGGGGGCGGTGAATAGCGATTGAGTTTCTGAAAAGAAAAAACTAAAATTTAATATAACAATATCCATTTGTTGTATCTATCATTTTCACTTTGTCTCGGTCTATAGGTGTGATTGAAACATTGTTCACAATGCATTGTATAATGTGTTGCATTTTTGTTTTTATATTAATTAGCGTACGTAAATAGTGTTGCGTGTTGCATAAACAATTTGGGTATAAAATATTACTCTTAAAAAATTATTATACATATATTGTTGGTATTTAACTATTTATAACTTGGATAATTAATTATTTAAATGAGAATAGATGGGTATGGAGATATTTGATTATGGACCTTGAAAATGAATAGCTAGGTAAATATTTGAAGAGGAAGACTTATTAATCTTGATTGTTTTTTTATTTATCTTTTTTTTAGAGAATTCTTGCTTTCTACTAATTTCTAGTTTCTTAAATGTTGCTAGATTCTTAAATATTGTGGATGGTTCTAGAATGAACACCACAATTTAACACTTCCCCGTGGTGTTCGTTTGGATAAGTTTGACCTTGTCTATGTATGTAGAGGCTTCTCTGACTTGTCTTTGGTTTCTCTGGTATTTGGCTCGACCATTACTTGATTGCATATTTTGTAGCACTTTGACTTTTCTCTATAAACTTGTCTTCTAATGGCAGTGTATGCTTGTTTCTCCTGATGGCTTGATTTTGTATTTTCCTTCTTGTCATCTTCTCCTTGACTGTTAACACTTGACTTGACAATTGACTTGTTCTTCTGCTCTGAGTATTGAAATTCCATTGTGAAACAGTGATTCTCCCTCATTTTAATTTTTGCAATTGTCTTCTTGTCTTTGTCGTAAATGGTGCATGAATCTCCCCTGAATTGCAAGTTGTAGTCTTTCTTTAACATTTCGCCGACACTTAGTAGATTTTGATTGATTGTTGGAACTAGGAGAACGTTTTTGATATATTTTGTGCCTTCTCTTGTGTCGATGGCGATGGTTCCTTTGCCTGTTGCCTCCACGTAGTCGCCATTTTCAATCTTGACCTTTGAACTGAATTTTGCAATATCGCAAAAAATGCTTTCGTCGAACATGTGATTGTTGCAGCCACTGTACTCTAAGTACCAAATGCTTCTTTTGTCTCCTGTTGTACCGTTGGAGGCGTAGAACAATAATTCTTTTGGCTCTGGCTCTAGCTCTGGCTCTGGTTCTGGTTCTGTCTCTTCTGAAAAATTGGCTCGTTGACTTTGTCTTCTCCCCAACAGTTTTTCTCGATGTGACCAAACCTTTGACATCTTTTGCATTGCGGTTTTTCTCGAAACCAACACTCTTCTTCTTTGTGAATCTTTTTTTTTTTTGCAAATTCCACATGGTGTATCATAACATATTTTGTTTATTTCGGGTCTAGAATATTCACCATCACTTGATTTCTCTGGAATTTTTTTTTCTTGGTTTTTGAAATTTTGAGACCGTAAATTTAATTTTGACTTAAATGTTGTTTCAACCTCTTCTTCATTTTTCTTCAAACTTGTCCATTTTTCATAAGCCTCGAGATAACCAACTAATTCTGTCACTGATAAAGTATTTAAATCTTTCAATTCTTCAATAACTGTAACGATTGGGTCATACTTTTCAGTGACAGTAATTAGTATCTTTTCAATAACCTTTTTATCTGAAATATCTTCTCTAGCTGCTCTCATTTGATTAACAAACTCAATTAATTTTGTATAATATTTTTTCACGGTCTCATTTTCTTTCATCCTTAAATTTTCGTAATCACGTTTGAGAGTCTGTAATTTGACTGCACGTACCTTGGATGTTCCTTGAAACTCTTCTTGTAAAATCTCCCAAGCTTCTTTGGCACTGTTGGCTTCGATGACTCTTGGAAAAATATTGTCCGACAAGGCTTGCTGGATTATGTAGAGCGCTTGTGCGTCCTTCCGACGCTCCTCACGTAACTTTTTCTGTTCTTGTACAGACAATGTTGATATATTCGTGGGAATATTGACTCCATCTGCGACAACTTCCCACAACTCTTGTGATAAAAATAATGTCTTCATCTTAATGCTCCAGTAGTCGTAATTTTCTCCTCCAAATATTGGCAGAGGAATAGTGTTGTTTGATGATGACTACGCCCCAAGTCCTTTGATCGACCGGGCTCTGATATCACTGTTGGTATTTAACTATTTATAACTTGGATAATTAATTATTTAAATGAGAATAGATGGGTATGGGGAGATTTGATTATGGACTTTGAAAATGAGTAGCTTGGTAAATATTTGAAGAGGAAGACTTGTTAATCTTGGTTTCTACTAATTTCTAGATTCTTAAATATTGTGGATGGTTCTAGAATGAACACCACAATTTAACATATATGCATATAATAAAACTACATAGTTGATTCCAGAAATTATCATAAATCTAATAATATCATTTAAGAATTATTTCTAACAAATATTTAATGTAAACATTTTAATATGAATGTTTAAATAACAAAATGAATATGTAAAAAACAAAGAATGAAAATGTAACAAGGAGTTATAATTAATTTAATTTTAAGCAAGTATATTTTAATTAATTTTTTTTAATTTAACTACAATCTAACTCTAACTACTAGTTCTAAAAATTTGTAGTCTTTAATTTTAATGTCAAACATCAAAATAATATAATATAATATATCTAGATTGATAAACATTGCACTATTCAGTCAACTTAGGACTTTGAATTTTTTAACTTTTATTTAAAACTGATATCAATTTCTTTTTTAATTTCTAGTTGTCGAAAAAATGACCCTAATCTCTAAAAAATAAAAGTTCTTTAAATATTTTCTTACTTAATTGCCGTTGCAGTAATATAGCAAAAAATAGCATATCATGTTAGCATTTCGCATAAATTTTTCTTAAAAAACGCCAAATATCAAATGCTATATATCGCATTTCACTGAAAATCATGCTATAAAGCGCGCTACGGAACACTATTTAAAACATTGGATTGTAAAGTATGTAAGATGAATTTTATAACAAAATAGATTTTGTGATAATCTAATGGTCGTGTATCAATTACTAGTCAAATAAATTGACAAATGTCTATTTTTTTATTTTTTTTACTAATTAAAATCTCACTGTCAAATTTTTACAAGACCTACATTAATAGAAACCTCATCTTGCAAACTTTCTAACGACACAATTTTTATAATTGATAAATCATACTTTGATTCGTTTGTCTCATCGTGAATACGAAAATATCTAAAACAGTTTTGAAGTTTGATTAAAAAATCATTATTGATTTAGTTATAGACCTTTTGTGTCCCTTTGGGGACATCCGATAAAATTGGAACGATACAGAGAAGATTAGCATGGCCCTTGCGCAAGGATGACACTCATAAATCGAGAAATAGTTATATACCTTTTGTTTTATTTTGGAGTTCGAAACTTTACGATGTAAATTGTCAATTTTGTATATATTGGAATGAAATCTAACAATTTTAATTTAAAACTTGAAAGTTTTAAGAATCGAATATTAGCAATGTATTCTAAATTTGGGCTCTTCTGAACTAAAATTCCCCAGAAGAAATGTATTTCAACTTGGGCCCTCTAAATTTAAAGTATTTAAAAGAAAGAATATTGATTTGGGGTCTTCTGAACCTCAAATTCTTGTCCGTAAGGCCCATTCCAGTTAGCCTATCGCACTTGAAAATAAGTTTTTATGCGTGGGGTTTATTTGTGGATCAGATGATAGCAAATCCTACAAAGCTTTTCCATTTTATTAACAATGAACTAGCACATATCGAAAACAATAAAGTTGGATCATTCAATTTCTACATATTTTAATCAGTGCTATTTATTTTTTGTAACCAGAACGTTAAAAGTTATAGATGTAGTGTTTTTCTTTTTATTTTATGTAATTAATATATTTAATATATTTGAATATTATTTATTAATGTAATTAATTTAAAATTATGTAAATAAATTTAAAATAAAAAATGAAAAATCATATGAAGATAGAATAGGGTCTAATTAAATTAATACTGTACTATATTCACGTGTTACTTGCCACAAAAGCATATGATAAGGTTTACTTATCCAACGCAAAAGAATTGTAAGCCTTAATTTTATCCTTTGCTTTGTGCTTAATTTCCTTGAATACAACCGAAGCTTCATTTTTTTATCTGGCAGACACGTGTCTTTTGTACGTGTGGCCGAAAGATAATGGCGCACTATATAGTCTATATTGTTACTTGCTAAAGGAAAACAAATTAGTAATGGTGACAACAAACGCGTATAGACTTTGCCCAAAATTTCGGTCCACGCTATTGCTTCTGTTAATTCGTGGACAAGTAAACTTAGTTGAAGGATCATAATTTTTTTATTTTTTATTTTTTTCATTTTACTTATTTATTTTTTTCCACGAGAGTAACACTCAGCACTCACTTGGAATATTTTGAGAACGAACAATTTTGATTATTTTCTTTAATTCTTATTTTGTGAGAGACAGACAAACTCAAGCTTTTGATGATGGAGTTCGATAAATGGAATTTCACTAAGTTGAATTTTATTTTGTTTTTGGTAGATTCAAAATGACTACAAAAAAAAAGCTCAGAGTGGGAAAAGATATATATGAATGAATACTTTTAATAATGACACATAAATAAAAAGAAAAATCCATTTAATAAATGAATCAAAGAATTCACATAAGAAATTAGCTACACTTTTTCCCTATACATCAAACAATCAAACCCCTTAAATAAAAGCAAATTCTAGCACCAATACCAACTTTTCCACTAAAAAAAAGTATGTAATAATTAAAATAAAATTCAATGCTATATAATTTTAATCTTTTCCAGCTATGAATTTTTTTCTAGTGGCCCAATCGCAGGGCACCGCTTTCCACCTCCTCATCGCACGGCGATTCCGGCGACGGCGGCAGGTTCAGATCAATATTCCGAGCAACGGCCACCGTCACCTGCTCGCTACCGGCGGCGGCGCCGTTGGACGAGGTGGTGCGGCTCTTGGCGCCGCCGATTACGCCCTCATAGTGCCTCCTCTTGTGGCCGCCCAGCGCCTGGCCGGTGGGAAACGCCCTGTGGCAGACGGAGCACTCGTGGAGCCTCCCGCCGGGATTCACCGCCTGCGCGTGCAATCCGGCGTCGTCCGCGGCGGCGGTCGGCGGCTTCACGCGGTGGCTGGCCTTGTGGCCGCCGAGCGCCTGGTACGACGGGAAGGCCTTCCCGCACACGCTGCAGCCGTAGGAGCCGGGGAGGGCCTCCGCCGGAGATTCCGCCGCGGCGGCGGGTTCCCGATCTCCGGCGACGTCGGTTTTGTCTTCGATCTTTTCAATTTCGGAGGCGGCCGAGGGGATGGCGGCGCCGCCACCACCCGCGGCGAGCATGATGAGGCAGACGGCGAGGTACTCGTCCTCCGATTGGCTGCGGCGGCGGCGCTTTGACCGGCTGGATTTTGACCACGAGTCAACGCCGCCGACCTTGTCAACGTCGTCATACCGGCGGGGGGAGAAGCCGACCGGCGGCGAATTCAAGGCCTCAATAGCCATAGTAATTTCTTCTGTAAAAGAGATATGATAAATTATGAGTTTGAGAGGAAAAAAATGAAGAGAATTTTTAATTTTTTGTTGAGATGTGAAGGTGAGAGTGAGGAAGGGGATATTTATAATAGGAATTAAATAAAGATATACTCTAGTTTTCTTTTGTAGGTTGGCAGTTGCGTGGGGAGAGGCGGTGGAGGAGTTTTGTTATCAAAATATTAAACTATATAATTATATTTATTTTAGTTAATTGTGTAATTATGTTATTGGCCTATTATTCAATATGATGAGTTATAATATAATATTTGTAATGGTGTGAAAGGATTATAATTATGTGATTTGAATAAATGAAAAATGGAGAATAAATAAAGGGGAGTGGTGGGAGGAATAGTTTTAATGGGGACGAGTGAGGAGAGCTCACACGTCTTTGAGTTTGAGTTTTATTGTTGTGAGAAAAATGGAAAACTAAATAATAATAATAATAATTTGTTATTTGAGGTCAAGCTTTGAGTGGGAGTGGGAGTGGGAGTGGGAGTGGGAATTGGGCGATAAAAGGAAAAGTTTGGTCAAAGGTTTTGAGGTGGCATATGATAGAGTTTTTAAATTTAATTTTATGGCTTTAAGATAATTATGTTGCAATTACCAAAAAATAAATAGAAAGAATTTACATGGCAAAAGTCTCAAACATTTGGTGGATTTCAGCCTACACAATTGTATGTGCTGTCAGACTGTTTTATCT